CAGAGGAAGCTAGGGTACCGGCTGTGAGAGCAGCCTTCTCTGAGAGGTGGGTCACACACCATGGACCGCCCACTTCTATAGTCAGTGATCGAGACCCCATATTTTGCAGCGATGAGTGGCAGTCCTACTGTAAGGACTATCTGCACTCACGACTGGACATGACTTCTGGTCACCATCCTGAAGCTAATGGTTTGGCTGAAGTAATGAACCAAGTCTTATTCCAGCTGCTGCGTCCTGTCATCTCTCCAGATCAACAGGACTGGGATCTTCACTTGGCGAGGGCACAGCTCATGTATAACATGTCTGTCCACTCCTCGACAGGGTTCAGTCCCTACCGGTTACACTGGGGACGAGAGCCACGTCAGCCTCTCGATGATATCATCGATAAGGCTAAGCCTGATCTGACACCAGGCACAACAGAGTTCACCAGACGCTATCGTCTAGATGTGGAAAGAACCCGCGTGAACTTGTTCAAAGCCCAAAAGGCTATGATTGAACAAGCTAATCGCCACAGGCGGCCTTCCCCCATCCGCACTGGTGATCATGTCTGGGTGGCCAGTTCTGAGCTGTCCAGGGAGGAGGATATCTCCCCCAAGCTGATGCCACGTTACCTGGGTCCATGGCAGGTCCTAGATACAGTGGGCGCTGATCCCTTCGGCCCGTCGTATGTTATCGACGTCCCGCTGCATCTGCGTACCTACCCGGTCTTCCATGCATCCAAGCTGCTACCATTCACTACAACTGATGCATTTCTAGACCGGCCCCCTCAGTTTGGTCCACCAATCCCTGGTAAGGGATATGATATCGACCGGATTGAGGATGAGTGGGGCACAGGCCCCGATCGGCAGTATCTTGTCAGATTTGCTTTCTCGCCTCCTTCTGAGAGCCGGTGGTTCTACACAAGAGACCTGCTCAAGACAGCAAAGTCCATTGTCTTGCGTTATGAAGCGGCTCAGAAGGGCAACCTTCCTCGCCGTTCACCTCGCCTGCATCCCTAGCTCGGAGGCCCTCGCTCCCGGGGAGGGTAAGCCTGCAATGACTTGCTGATTTTTACTATTGAGATTGACTGCGAGGCTGTACACTAACCGGTAGGGTTAGATTCGTAATTTTGTTTGGCTGAGGGCTAACCGAGACCTGTCTGTAAGGAAATTGTGAGGGACATATCTGCAAATCTGGGAAAAACATAGGCCCAACACTAACCTGAATTCCTACAGCTACCCTAACTGCCTATAGCAGGCCCGGGCTACCCCTAGGACAGACAGGCCCTAAGCGGCCTATGCTGCTAGACGGTCCTATAGCCTATAGCCGGGTCCGGTAGAGGCCGAGAGGCCGAAACAGCA